AGAAATGGAAGGAAGAAAAAAGAGAGAAGGAAAAAGAAAGGAAAGAGAGGAAGGAAGGAAGGATGAGAGGGAAGGAAGGGGAAAAGAAGGAAGGAAGGAAGGGAGGGAGGGAGGGAAGGAGGGAGGGAGGGAGAGAGAGAGACTCACAATGGGAGGGATGGCAGCTGCCCTCTGCTTCAGCTGCTTCAGGTCCAGCGGCTTCTGAGGTGAGGAGGTGAGACGGGCATCGTTGGGGGCACCAAGGAGACTTAAGCGGGCAGCCGGCAACCTGCAGAGAGACGCAACAACCCTGCTTGAGAACCACTTTCCAAGCACTGCTTTGGCCCAGAAATCCAGCCTGATTCTCTTGGACAACTGCAGAGAGACTGACTGAACAACCACGGGGGAAAAAAGGCTGTGAAATCCTGCGTGACCCACTTAACAGCCCCCTTGCTTAGCAATGGAAATGCTGGTCCCAATTATGATCTTGAGGACCACACCTGTGATTCTGATCTTGCTGAAAGTCAAACTCCTCAAGTCCTTAAGACAACTGTCTTGAGGCTCTACCTGGTTTCACTTTTGGCTAAAAGATGAGGATCCCAACCATCTTCTGGATCACTGGAGACCCCTTTGGGGTCCTTGGGACTGTTCCCACCAGAACAAAGATTGATGGGATCTGGCTGATGACCTCGGGTTGACTTATCTCCTTGATGTGGGTGTCAGAAGATAAAAGCACCAACTCTTGGAGATTTATAAGAGAAGAGCATGAACCACATTGGAATGTCTTCTGGACCATCACAGACCCCATCAGAAGACTTTGGGGTCTTTGGGACTGTTCCCACCAGAACAAAGATTGATGAGACCTGGCTGATGACCTCGGGTTGACTTATCTCTTTGATGTGGGTGTCAGAAGATAAAAATCACCAACTCTTAAGCTTTGGAGATTTATAAGAGAAGATCATATAACCATGTTGGAATGTCTTCTGGACCATCAGAAGACTTTGGGGTCTTTGGGACTGTTCCAACCAGAACAAAGATTGATGGGACCTGGCTGATGACCTCGGGTTGACTTATCTCCTTTGATGTGGGTGTCAGAAGATAAAAGCACCAACTCTTATGCTTTGGAGATTTATAAGAGAAAATCATGAACCACGTTGGAATGTCTTCTGGACCATTGGAGACCCCATCAGAAGACTTTGGGGTCTTTGGGACTGTTCCCACCAGAACAAAGATTGATGGGACCTGGCTGATGACCTTGGGTTGACTTATCTCCTTGATGTGGGTGTCAGAAGATAAAAGCACCAACTCTTATGCTTTGGAGATTTATAAGAGAAAATCATGAACCACGTTGGAATGTCTTCTGGACCATCGGAGACCCCATCAGAAGACTTTGGGGTCTTTGGGACTGTTCCCACCGGAACAAAGATTGATGGGACCTGGCTGATGACCTCGGGTTGACTTATCTCCTTTGATGTGGGTGTCAGAAGATAAAAGCACCAACTCTTAAGCTTTGGAGGTTAATAAGAGAAGATTATGAACCACGTTGGAACGTCGCGGTCCTGTAACCAACTGAAAGAGGAACAAATTCAACCAGGGCTTTAACCCACCAGGAAAACGGGATTCGATTTCTGCTTGACGTTCTCCGACTTATTTTTTTTACCCTCTGAACATCACTGGCTGTTCCCCAGCCATAAACTGACAACAGTTAATGCATGACTGTACAGGCCTCCGTATTCATTTATATTTAGTGTGACCCATGCTTGAACTTTTCATTCCTCCAGCTGCCAGCAACAGCAGCAGCCTTTATAAAATATATATATATATATATATATTTTGCAACGATAATTATCTTTAGAGACCTTTTACTTCCATTCGGCTTCCAAGGAGCCAAGAGGAACCGACAAAACAGCTCTCAAGGCTGTCGAAAGCTTCCCTGGAAGGTTGTGATGCCGTGGCATCCACACACACACACACACACACACACACACACACACACTACACACACACATGCATTGGGGCCAGGATGTTAATGGAAGCTGGCCTGGACGCATGGGATCTGTTGTTCATGTCGTTGATTTTTACAGGCAGTCCTCAGCTTACAACCAAAACGGAGTCCGACATATTTGTCGCTAAGCGAGACGTTTGTGAAGGGAGTTTTACGACTTTTCTTGCCACAGTTGTTAAGTGAATCACTGCAGTTCTTAAGTTAGTAACACGGTTGTTAAGTAAATCTGGCTTTCCCCACTGCTTGTAATAAGGTCGCCTAAGAGGAATCACGGGACCCCGGAATCCTGCAAATCGTCATAAATACGAGACGGTTGCCAAGCGTCTGAATTTTGATCAGGTGACCACGGGGGAGGCTGCAAGGGTGGTAAAGTGTGAACCACGGTCCTAAAGTCACTTTTTTTTAGTGCTGTCGTAACTCCGAAAGGTCACTGAATGAACTTTTGTTAAGTCGAGGAGTGCCTATATATATATATAGCTCTGTTAAATAAAATGAATATACAAGCAGCACACCATTCACCACGAGACCTAGATTGTCTAGGCAGGGTGGGGTAAATCTTCCTCTTATTAGGGGATGTCAAGGTGGACACTGAGGGGTCCTGGGTGTTCTCTGGGCTTGCTTGTTTTCTTGCACACGTTTCATTACCCAGCTATGTAACGTCATCAGTGCTAGAAGGGAGAGGAATTGAGGGAGGGGAGGGGAAGGGAGGAATATGGGGTTCTAGGTACTCTCTGAGCTTGCTGGTTTTCTTGCAGACATTTCATTACCCAGCTAGGTAACATCATCAGTGCTGGGAGGGAGGGAGGGAGGGAGGGAGGGAGGGAGGGAGGAAGGAAGGAAGGAAGGAAGGAAGGAAGGAAGGAAGGAAGGAAGGAAGGAAGGAAGGAAGGACGGACTATGGAGTCCCAGGTACTCTCTGAGCTTGGTGATTTTTTTGCAGACGTTTCATCACCGAGCTAGGTAACAGCATCAATGCTAGAAGGGAGTGGAATTGAATGAGTGAGTGAGTGAGTGAGTGAGGAAGGAAGGAAGGAAGGAAGGAAGGAAGGAAGGAAGGACTATGGGGTCCTTGATGCTCTCTGAGTTGTTTTCTTGCCGACATTTCATTACCCAAATAGGTAACATCATCAGTGCTAGTAAAGAGTGCAGTCTGCTGTCAGTTTATATTCTTGCCTGTCTGTGTGGGTTGCAAAACGCTTGCAAAAGTCCAGGTAAAATATAAATGCATTTGGTGCCTGTCTTCCGAATCACTTTGCGCATTTTCTTTTCATTCGTTTTAGAAAAATCTCTCCAGTATTTCCCTTAAATTGCTGCTTCCCCAATTTGGCCATCACGCTTAAATTAAAACCCGTCGTGTTTTGAGTCAGAAACTGAGCAGATGCTTAGCTAGCGGTTAATCTCCTCAGATGTTTAACCAGATGGCTGTGTCTTTGGATTTTAACAAGGTAGCAGAGCTGGAAGAGACCTTGGAGGTCTTCTAGTCCAGCCCCCCGACTCAAGCAGGAGACCCTATACCATTTCACACAAATGACTTGTCCAACATCTTCTTAAAAACCTCCAGTGTTGGAGCACCCACAACTTCTGAAGGCAAGCCGTTCCACCGATTAATTATTTTCACTGCCAAGAAATCTCTCCTTTAGTTCCAGGTTGCTTCTCTCCTTGATTGGTTTCCATCCGTTGCTTCTCGTCCTGCCTTCAGACCGTTTGGAGAATAGCTTGACTCCCTCTTCTTTGGGGCAGCCCCTGAGATACTGGAAGACTGCTATCATGTCCCCCTCGTCCTTCTCTTCATTAGACTAGACATCCCCAATTCCAGCCACCGTTCTTCATCTATTTTAGCCTCCAGCCCCCTAATCATCTTTGTGGCTGTTTCCTGCACTCTTTCCAGAGTCTCAACATGTTTGTGTGTGTGTGTGTGTTGGAAGGTGGGAGGTGGGGGGGGAGTCTCTGGCTTGCTTCCAGCAAATGCAATAATTTGTACTCCCAATGCTCTTGTTTTCTCCTGCCTGGGGTCAGTCATCCCTTGATAAATGTCTGCCCGAGAATATGGATTTTCAAGAGGCGTTTAAGGAAATGGACTGAAGCGCCCGCACTAAATCAGCCTTCAGCCACGGGAGGCAGGCAGGCAGGCAGACAAGTCGTCCCAGAACCGACCGGCGGGCCCGGGAAGTGACCGTCTAGTGGCGCCTGACCTCCTTTAACCCCGTCGGGTGGGCATCGATCCCAAACAGGATCTAAAGCTGCCCTTTCCATTACCGTCAGGAGGCGTCACCAATCGTTAGCCACGTGCAAAGAAGAGATCAGGGTGATAAATCAACCTTTTTTTGAAGCCACACGGTTTTTGCTCCGCCAGCTTACACATGGCTCCCGAGAAATCTATAACCTGATTCAGAGGAAGCCCCCCCTCCCTGGGGGGAAGGAGGGAGAGGGGGGTTAGATCTAGTTTCTGACTACAATCTTGCCTGTCCTCCTGACTCATGGAATCTGCAAGCAATGCCCTTGGGATGGTAGGAAAAGAAGAAAACTCTTCTGGGAGATTTTTTTAAAACTATTGGTCGCGTCCCGCCGCCTCTCCTTTCTAGGCTCCCCGCCCAATTTATTCAGAAACCTGAATCACCCCGAACAAGCAGCGGAAGTGAAACTGGATGCACATGTAATTGAGTTCTTCCGGGGGGAAAAAACCAGCTTTGGGAAGGGCACAAGCCTTCCAGACTGCCACCCCACTAAATTGCCCCGGCAGATCAATCTCGGTTGAAAAAAGCTCGCAGATCTTCCCGGGAGTCCAAACGATCTCCCTGGAAGATGGCTGCTCTCCAGGATTTCCCCAAACAAGTCCTGCTGCTGAAAATCGGATCGCTCGTCCGCAGAGAAGACCTACCTCATCCCGTGTAGGAAAAAGAAAGCTAGCAAACTTTCAGGAGTCTCGGCTTTTAAACGTTTAGGGGCGCCAAACCCTGTTAGCTTTTCGTGGGAAGTACAGAGAGTTGACTTACAAACATTTAATTCAACTGATCTTTCGTTGAATCATCTTTCAAAGTTGCAGGGACGCTGAAAAGAAAGCCACGTAGGACCATTTTTTCACCCTCGCGACCGCTGCAGCCTTCAAAATCGCAGTGTTCAAAAGACAGCCGCTTGGCAACCGGTTCATATTTATGACGGTCGCAGTGTCCCCGGGGTCACGCGATTCCCCCCTTTTGCGGCCGGCCAAGTCAACGGCAAAGGCAGATTCGCTCGCCAACCCGGCGTGACTTAACTTCACAAACGGCAGGGATTCGCTTAAGCACGGCGGCAAGGTCGTAAAACGGCGCCAAACTCATTTTGCAACGGTCCCGCTTAGCCAACAGACACGTTGGGCTCAATTGTTGGCTGTACAACAAGGACTGCCTGTTATCTACACCAGGGGTCCTCAACCTTGGCAACTTTAAGACTAATCCACTCCCAGAATTCCTGCTAGCTGAGGGATTGTGGGAATTGAAGAAGTCCACAAGTCTTAAAGTTGCCAAGGTTGGAGACCCCCTGATCTACACCCTTCTTCGCGCCCGCCATCTTTTCCACTTACTTGGTTTTGTCGGTGGGGTCCTGCTCTTCCATCTCATCCGCGCTACACGTAGCGCTCGAATCGCTATCCGAGGCGGCGCTTCCGCTTTTGCTGCCTTTTGGGCACTCCTTCTTCTCCGGCTTGGGGGTGTCCTCTGTCTCAGCCCCCACCCCGTTACTGGTCTCACTTTTCTGCTCATCGGCCTTGTTCTCTTCCGGGACATCTGCCCCTTCCTCCATTTTTATCTCAGCCACGTCCGATTCTGGGTCTTTCGAGTTTTCTTCTCCACTTTCCGTTTGGATTGTATCGACGTTGGGTTCCTCCTGCGGCTTTTCGCTCCCAGCTGGACCAGGGTCGGTCCCTTCCGGGCTGTGACCACCGGAGTCTACGGCGTTGGCTTCCGGGGACATGGCGGGTTTCTGTACGTTGACCGTCGTTTCTTCTTCGGCCTCGGCATTCGGTTTGGACTCGCTTTCCGGGGGCTTTTTGGCGTCCAGTCTCGGAGAAGGCAGGCTGTCTGTGTCAGAGCTGTTATTCACAGCAGCTGGAATTAAAACAAAAAGACACACTGTTCATTTCGATGGCCAGGTTCCATTTGCAACGCACAAACACTCGGGGTCCCCAAGGAGCCCTAAAAAAAAAATATTTCATGGCCGCGAGCGGGTGAGTTGCAATGCATTATTTAACTCCGAAGAGTTGCAGGCTACAATTGTGGATTTTGAAGAGAAGCTTCTTATATATTTTTGCAAGCAGGGTGAGAGGACTTTATCTCCCCAATTTGGTGCCAAAGAGTCACTTTGGAAAGGGCCAGAACAAAAGGTGGTTTAGATTTGCTTTAAACTACCATTATGGGTTTGTCTTTGCCATCCTTTCCTTTTTTGAGGGCTGTTTGTTATTTTGACTCTACAGTAGTCCTCGACTTACCATCACAATTAAGCAATCTTTCTGTTGCTAATTGAGACATGTCTTAAGTGATTTTTGCCCCGTTCTACGACCTTTCTTACCACAGTGGTTAAGTGAATCGCTGCAGTTGTTAAAACTATAATACGGTTGTGAAGTGAATCTGGATTGTCCCATTGACTTTGCTTGTCAGAAAGTCACAAAAGGGGATCACATGACCCCGGGGCACTGCATAACCGTCATAAATGTGAGTCAGTTGTAGAACATCTGGATTTTGATCACTGTGACCCACGGGGAAATGCTGCAACGGCCGTGCAAAAAACTGTCATAACTCACTTTTTCCAGTGCCGTTGTAACTTGAACGGTCACCAAATGAACAGTTGTAAGTCAAGAGGGAGCTTTTAGATGCAAATATATTTTTACGTTGTTTGTAAGGTTACCATCATTTGCGGGGGGGGGGTGTCTTAATTTTGGTTATTCTTCTTGATCTAAGAACAGCTTTTCCTTAAAGTCTTGCAGAACCATTAAATACACACACACACACACAAAAGAGAAATCACTAAAAGCGATACTACAGCATTAACCTTGTGAACTCTCAAGCTTCCTCCTTCCGTTATATATTCAAGATGGACAGTATTTAATATTTATTTGTTATGTCTATGTATATGTCAATAAAAATATAGGAAAAACGAACACCAGGATAAAAATAAACAGGACCGTTTAATATAAACAAGCCTGTAAGTAAAAGAGTTACTAAGCTTTCGTCAGCCAAACTACTGACGTCATCAGAGTTGTATATGTATATGTATATGTATATGTATATGTATATGTATATGTATATGTATATGTATATGTATTGAACTCTGGTACTGGAGAAGACTCCTGCGAGTCCCCTGGACTGCAAGGCGATCCAACCGGTCAGTCCTGGAGGAGATCAACCCCGACTGCTCTTTAGAAGGCCAGATCCTGAAGTTGAAACTCAAGTACTTTGGCCACCTAATGAGAAGGAAGGACTCACTGGAGAAGAGCCTGATGCTGGGAAAGATGGAGGGCAAGAGAAGAAGGGGACGACAGAGAAGGAGGGGGCTGGATGGAGTCACTGAAGCAGTAGGAGTGAGCTTAAATGGACCCCAGAAGATGGTAGACGACAGGAAGGCCTGGAGGAACGTCGTGCATGGGGTCGCGATGGGTCGGACGCGACTTCGCAACTAACAACAACATGTATATGTAGGGGTGTGGGTCTATACGTATGTTGTACATAGTATGCTTAGGTGTGTGTCATGTATGTGTTTCACTTTGAGAGCAGGCAACTAAATTTCATTTTTGATGTGTGCCGTTGTGCCCACAGTAAAAAAATGACAATAAAGGTTATCTTATCTTATATCTTATCTTATCTTATCTTATCTTATCTTAAGGTGGACAGGTTCCAACCCACAGGCATCAAAACCCATCCTCAGGTGTGAAGTCACAATGGTGTGGTCTTAGCCACGTGCCTTTTCACAGACCTCAAGTTCCTTTTCACAGACCTCAGCGGGTGGAGAATTCACACACACACACACACACACACACACGAGACACACCTTCCCAGGATAATGAAAAGACCTGCCCCTGTTTGGAGAAAGGTGGGGGGAGGGGGTTAGGGAGGTGTGTGTGTGTGTGGGAAGGTGTCTTCTGATCTTTTCATGATTAATTTGATCTGCCTGACTTCCTGGAGTGGATTTTAAGGCTGCAGCTATTAATCTCCTACCATCCTTGACCTGCATTTCACTTCACTGAGATTGCAGCTGTAAAAAAAACACAACCCAACAACATAAAAACCTAATTGGAAGGCTGCAGGACTTGGCCGACGGGAGGCTCTTATTTCTCCTTTTTTTTAATTGGTAAGGACAGACAGATTTAATGTTGTTTTCCTTTCTCCTGCATTGAAGTGGCCTTGATCTGGAGACCATCCACCCGGACGCTTCAGAACAGGCGAAATTCAATTTAAAGGCAGGGGAAGACGAGGTTTTCTGAAGCCCTTTATGGAACGCATGGCAAATTCGTTCTTAATTTCCAAGTTCCTCTTCTCGATTGTCTCTGGGTCTTTGATGTTACAAATAGCCTTTGACGCACAATCATTCATTTAGGGAGTCTCTGAAGTGCGCTGAAAAAAGTGACTTGCAATGAATGTTATGGAGATGGTTGTCCCCAAATATGTTTATTTCCCCCCACCCCCCAAAAAAAAGCAACGGGATTTTCTTGGTGTTTTCTTTGAAAACATTTCATTTCTCTTCCAAGAAGCTTCTTCTAAATTCAACTGAAGAAGCTTCTGGGATGAGAAGTGAAACTTTTCAAAGAAAACACCGAGAAAGTCCAGTTGTTTTTTGAAAAACACATATTTGGGACTTGTAAGATGGAAGCAAATCTATGGCAAATCTAGACAGCGCACTAAAAAGCAGAGACATCACCCTGCCAACAAAAGTGTGTATAGTCAAGGCCATGGTTTTCCCAGTTGCAATGTAGGGCTGTGAAAGTTGGACCGTAAGAAAGGCTGAGCGCCAAAGAATGGAGGCCTTTGAACTCTGGTGCTGGAGAAGACTCCTGCGAGTCCCCTGGACTGCAAGGCGATCCAACCGGTCAGTCCTAGAGGAGATCAACCCCGACTGCTCTTTAGAAGGCCAGATCCTGAAGTTGAAACTCAAGTACTTTGGCCACCTAATGAGAAGGAAGGACTCCCTGGAGA